AATAATAATAATGCAGATAAGTTTCAATAGGAAAGTTTGGATGTAAGTCCCAACAAAATTTATATCCCTTTGGCCTCAAGCAATAGACAGAGGGGAAACAGAACAAATATTCTGTATGAAAGAACCTCAAGTCCAGACAAAGAATAAAATCAAACTGACCAACAGGACAACTGATAACTAAACAATACTTGAAACATTTGTATCAGACTACAAAAAACAAATATAGTCATGCTGAATAAAATCATCCAAAATCCAAGAAAAAAACTGTACAGCTGGACAAGACTTTTTCACCAGGACCAGTAAAATACCACAAAAGGCTGGACTGTAATGAACCTAATATTTCTTTGATTCTAGGTCATTGAAATCCTAAAAATCACAGAGATGTAGAGCTAGAATGGATCCAAGTATTATTTAGTTCTGACCCCTGCTTCTGCAGAAAATCTACAGCAAAATGTATTTGACAGATAAAGATCAACATGAGCTCAAGTTTGGAAGCAACCAGTAAGAGTTGTAAATTTGATGCAGGAATAGCAGTTTCCACAATACTCTAGAGCTTTGTGTACTGTAGTAGCAAAATTGAAATAGTAAGTGGAATTATTAACAATATAGAACCTTCTTATAATACTAATGTGTAACAAAAATCTGCAGCGTTCAGTCATACTACCCTCCTCTCTTTTCTTGCAAACCCATGATTTTTTCCTTCTGCATCTGTTTCCTGGCATTGAGCCTTCAGGAACAATCAGTTCCACACAACAATTCCAGCTGAATGTCCCTGATGACGTACGTAGCCTTAATTTACAAACAAACAAAGTGTTATTTTAAATAAAAGAAATATTTTTTCTTATAAAAACAAGTTAAAAACAGCTTTTAGTCGTACTCAAGGAGTAACTATTGAACATTCCTATTCTGCTAAAGGTTACCTCAGACATTACATTTTACTGGGAAAAAATATTTTACATTACACATACATAAATACTTCAGAATCTATGTACCACACATAGGTGCTATGGAACAATCTTTATTTTAAATTTTATATCAAGAATGAATATCAGACATATACGGTGACAGAAGGCTGCTGAAGAACAAAAATGCTTAGTGGAAAATTCTCTGCAGGATATAGGTAGCATTATATATGAGTTTATTGATTTCTAGAAACATCTACAGTAGTGTCATAAAACAACAACAACAAAAAACAAAAACCTCAAATAGCAAAAACAAAACAGAAACAGCAACAATAGTAGTTAAAACAAAATTAAAGCTTGCTGCTCAAATTATATCAACATAAGTGCCAAGGAGAAAAATCCACAAGCAGGTCATAATTGCCAGAAGAAGGGCTTTTTTTTAGGATCCACCCACTTCACTTTAGACAATAAGGAGGATAGTTGTTGTGGGTTTTTGGGCTGTTTGGCCGTGTTGTGAGGGTTTTTCTTCCTGACGTTTCGCCAGTCTCTGTGGCTGGCATCTTCAGAGGACAGGGGTCAGAACTCTGTGCTCTCTCGCAGTTTGTGGAATAGTTGATTTTTTATAGCTGTGGGATCAGCTTATGTCCTTTTCAGGACATTGGGTGATTTTGGTGATCAGTGTGTTTTTTGTTGTTGGGTATCCTGTTGTGATAAGGGGTAAGACGACCTGTCACTGTGACTGATGGGTGTCATTAGCTGGTCTTTTGTGTGCAGTGTGAAGCTTTTGAAAAAACACAACCTACAAACAGTATTCAGGCCCACCACAAAAATACAACAAATGTTATGGTCAGCAAAGGACAAAAGGGATCACTAATGCAGGAGTATACTGGATACCTTGCAGTTGTGGCCAGGTATATATTGGAACCACAAAACACAGCATCCACACCAGAATCAAAGAACATGAGAGAAATTGCAGACTAAAACAACCGGAAAAATTGGCAGTAGCTGAACATGCCCTGAAACAAGTTGGATATGAAATTTTATTTTAAAATACAGAAGTACTGGACAACACCAGCAATCATTATGTTAGATTGCACAGGAAGCCATTGAAATCCACAAACACCAGCAGAGCTTCAACAAAAAACAAGAAAGGCTAAAACTCAACAAAGCCTGGCTCCCAGCACTAAAAAATACAGCCTGCAAAAGCTCAATGAACTCTGCCCAGCTGCAAGAACTGGTGATGACTGCACACAAAAGACCAGCTAATGACATCCATCAGTAAAAGTGACAGATCATCCCTGACCCTTATCACAACAACACACCCACAACAAAAACATGCTGATCATCATAATTTACTGAATTCTTGCAGCTTTTAAACATATAATATATTGCAGTATTTTAACCTGTAGCCCTCAGAGGAGAATTATGGCCAAACTAAAACCTCTCTAGGAGGGGTCACAAATGGCATGTGAGATCTAAGTGATAAAAGATATTCTGAGGCTTCTTAACAATTAAACTGGATTGTGTACCATTGCCATACTTCCTTGGAACACTTCTCTCTAACCCTAAACTTCAGGTAGCTTTCAGACTGAGAAGGGGGATGCTCCATTCCAAATTTGGTGCGGGTGTTGCCTTGACGTCCTTGGGCACAAGCCATGTATGCCTACAATCTATTACTTTGGTTCAAATTAAACCTTCAATGAATAAGGCATAAGAAGGGGAATTAATCTTATATTATAGGAATTTTTTTCTCCACAGGCTGCTATCAGCGTAGCAGACCTGACTGAGGGTATGGCACACCTGCTGAAATAACAAGGGGTCAGAGTTGGCAAGTTATGATAGCTTATGACATTACAGCTTACATTATCTAGATTTGCTCATTCCACACTTTGAAAGATTTAATTTAGCAGCTTATCACTGTTGATAGCAGCAGGACCCACTCTACTCACCATTCTGAATGTGTATACGAAGTATTCCTATATGACCAATGTAAATGGTTACAAAACCAAGTCCCATGAAGACCACTCCAATAGGATCCTCTTGGCAATATGGAAAGAAGTGATTTCTTTAAAATTAGGAGAAAAAAGTGGAAAACATGAAACACAATAATTTTTTGTATATTCATATCTCTAAAATCTAAAATTCCCCAGACTGCACCTCCCACCTCTGGGAGGTGCAGTTCAGAAACTTAAGTGTGCAGGCCAGCTTTCTAGTTATATATAAAAAAAGAAAATTAATTTAATTCAAAATGCTAAAAAATAGTGAAAAACATCCTCATGACAAATAAAAAATCATACAAGAAAATATAGTACTATACCTTCTCATCTGCATTAGTTATCCAGAGGAGGTCTGTGCCCTTATAACGTATACACATCTCTCTTGCATATAGCCAGTCTTCATCTTTATCCCTGTTTATGTAATAACAGCTGCCATGCCAGTATATCCAGCCATCTTCAACAGGACACCTCCCACCAATTATAGACCCTGAAATGTGAACGCAAACGCATACAGAATCAGGTTCATCTCAGGTATGTTTTTCTAGTTAGGTTGGCCAAATGGAAAATAAAAGAATTAAAACCCAGAGCTAAAATAAACGATGAACTGCCTCATGTAGCAAATTAGATTGACAGCTTTATTTATCTGACTGACAGATCAACCGTTTCCAAATCTATCAAAAACCAAAAAATGTTTGCTCATTAGTGTTTATTTGTCATTCTTTTCTTCCCATAATATCATCCTTATTTCCTTCACAGTGGTGTAGTGTAATCTTCTATTCAAAAAGTAACCAATTAACACATTAGTTACTAGGAGTGTGCGCTTTCATATTTTTTTGCCCAAAAGCTCCAGAATTCTCTGGAAATTCCCCAGACAGAATGCTGGAAATGTAAGCCAAGAAATGTAAGTCTGCAAACGAGCCTTCTGGTTATTTACCTCCATCACTTCCTTCTCTGTCTTGTTCATAGTTTGAAAAACAAGGAGGCTCCTGTGATGTTACTTGGGAGTTGTAGGTCTTCTGGAGGCACCAATTATAGAGCCTAATGGGTACTGAGAGTCTTCCACATCCAGGAGGCCCTGGTTGGACACATCACAGCAGGGGTGACTGACTCTCCAGCGTGGGCAAGAAAGACAGCACATTGGTACTTCCAATAATGGGACGTGGTCTATGTGTGCATTGGGTTGGGGGAGAGGGAGGATATAGAGTAGGATAATCTGTTCTCAATTATCCCAGAGTGCATGTTACTAAAAAATGAGCTCAAATTATAGGAAGCCAGATTTCAGTTGAATATCAGGAATAACTTCCTAAATCTTATAGCAGTATGACAATGAAACTAGAGAGGGGCATGAACCAAAAAATGAACTAGGAATTTCTCAAAAAATCACTGATTTATTGATTCAAGTTTGTCAAAAGCAATGAACCAAAAAAAACCCTGAACCAATGAACTTTTAATCATTTTTTGGTTTGTTTGGCCACTCACCCCATTTTCTCCCCACTTGCCCCCGACAGCCTATTCCTGTCAGTCAGAAGCACTAGGCAACCCTGGAATGGACCGAGAGACTACTGGATTGGCAGGTCAGGCTGCCAACCGTGTGGCTCAAAGAACTCTGGGACACTTGCTTGTTCTTATTTATAAGATTGATTCACAGGAGCCATTTTCACCTCCAAGCCATTTCTGCTAGACATACGAAGTGTTCTGCCTTGGAACCAGGTTACCTCAGACCTCCAGCAGCATTTTGCTTTCCTTGTCTGTCTTTCTTCCCCACCCCCCACCCTACTCCCCACCGACCACAACCTCTGTTCCTCAGCTCTCCAATGTGGCACTGTCCATAGGGTTTGGGGAAAGGGTGTTGTCTCTCCCCAGTTTACTTCCTGATGGAGGCAACACCCTGTGTCAGTTTCCCATACCAGCTGCTAAAGGGCCCTTTCCTGGGGGGGTGGGAACTGCTTTGAGGGTGTATAATTTGGATGTCCAAAACTTCACCAAACTTGGAGGGAATGCAGAAGAGAGTCATGGGAAGCTTCTATGCAATTTTGGTGTTTCAAGGAGAACAAGGGGGGGGGAGTTCTACGGCTCCTGAATGTCTGAATCAAAATGTATTGATTTGTGGTTTGGTTTTTCAAAAGTTTGGGAAGAGAGAGGGGGGGGAGGGAGAGAGAGAGGGAGGGAGGGAGAGAGGGAGAGAGAAAGAGAGAGAGAGAGAGAGAGAGAGGGAAATGATGAGAACACAGACAGGACAGCAGATCACCTTTTTCACAACTGAAAGTAGGGTCAGTTTTGTTGCAGAATAGGCTATCACTGCAAAAGCCTGTGTGTGGGTTGCATAATACATCATCATCATCACACTTGCGACACATTTTTTCACACATCTGCCCAAATCTTCCAGCAACACACTCTGCCAAGGGAGGGGAGGGGGAGAAAAGAAAATGTGAAATACTACATTAGAATAAAAATTGCTTCTGTAAATTCACATACGAATAACTATTTAGATTGTCAGCTGTAGGCCTCCTCTGTGGAAGAATCGACATAGAGCTCCATAAGTACTAAGAATATAAGCATACCAAATCCTGAACTTCAGGACATAACTCTCTTGAAGTGCACTTGAGTCATGATTCTGGTATGCGATTCAGTAACTGTAAGAAGAAAGGAAGTATGGAGGTACTGGCCAGAATCTTTTTGCAAAATCCCACACATCATGGGAGCTGTGAGATTAGTTTCCTCAACTTTCTGGCCATCTTTGTGTGGCTGGTTATGCAACCACATGTAATCAAGTGCGTGGCCTGAGTACCTTTGAATGCACAAGTGATAGCCAGAATAACTGTACTTACCAGTTACACAATTAGGGATATATGCTGTGTAAACTGAAGAGGATTCTGGCTTTTATAAATTGGTGACTGATTATGATCTAATATTTAGTATGCTCATTTTAAACTTTTGTTACTGTCATCTCTTTTGGAAGTCCCAGATGACACTTTTATTTAGTGTCCCTATCTCAACCATTGACTTTTGTGGGAGTTTCAGATAATGACAACCCTCCCTTGCTTTTTACCACTTTATCTTTCTTCCTACTGTGGAAAACCCATGGAGGAGAAAATGACATCTGGAGAGTGTCTTCTGATCACTAGAACAAGGAGTCCTCCTTCTAGAAGTGCCCTTTTGCTGTCTTTCCCTCTTTCCTTTCTGCCGCCCAGAGTAGACTTCAGTCTAGATGGGCGGGGTATAAATTTAATAAAAATAAAAAATAAAATAAATATTTAGATGGTAAGCTCCTCCATTTCCCCCCAAACTAATTTAATTCACAAAATTAAATACTGTACTCCCAAGTCTATCAAAATCACAGCTTTATATCTAATCCCAAATTTGCTAACATTAAAAATAATTTTAAGGTTGAACAATACACATTTGAACAAACAAAGCAATAAAAGTAAAGGACTCCATATATATATTTCTGCAGCATACCTGACTTGATCCATGTTTTCACTTTTTTATCTCTGGTGTTATATATCTCCATACCAGTGTGTAGTGTGAAATTTTTCTCTACTTCTACCACTCCAGTACAGTTTGGAGAGACTAAGCAGGCTTGTTTCGCCTTATCTAAGGTTGAATATTTAGGAGCTTTTCCAGAAGGCAAGTAAAAGGCTCTTCCCTTGTGCTCAGTAAAGAGATCAACATCTGTTTGAAAGAAACAATCAACTGAATAGAAACCAGTAACACATTAATTAGATTAATCGATATGCAGATAATGATGACAATTTAATTTATTATCCATGCTTTTGCATACATGCTTATGACACCTATCGGATGACTGATGTGTAGCTTGAAGAATCAGGCATGGATAGATACAGCCTGCAGATGACTGCACTTTGAACTGGGATCACAGAACTAGATTAATTTGGGAGCAGGGGAAGAAATGTCAAAAGTGTGTACTTGTGTCTTTTCACTAAACTATTTTCCCATTTCTGCTGTTTAGCATATTAAAACATATTTTTAAAAGGTCTCACCATCCATTGATAAATGTCAGGTGGTTAACATGACAAGGACCTGAACTCTCAGGCAATCTACACAATCAGTAACAATAGTGACTGAATTCCCTTTAATGGTCAACATCTGCAACAGAAGTCCACATGTGATAAAATGAATGATCTGATTCTGTGTTGTTTAGTCATTAAGTCCTGTCTGACTCTTCGTGACCCTATGGACCAGAGCACGCCAGGCCGTCCTATCTTCCACTGCCTCCCGGAGCTGGGTCAAATTCATGTTGGTAGCTTCGATGACACTGTCCAACTATCTCGTCCTCTGTTGTTCCCTTCTCCTCTTGCCTTCACACTTTCCCATCATCAGGGTCTTTTCCAGGGAGTCTTCTCTTCGCCTGAGATGGCCAAAGTACTGGAGCCTCAGCTTCAGGATCTGTCCTTCCAGTGAACACTCAGGGTTGATTTTCTTCAAAATGGATAGGTTTGTTCTCTTTGCAGTCCAGGGGACTCTCAAGGGTCTCCTCCAGCACCACAGTTCAAAAGCATCAGTTCTCCAGCAGTCAGCCTTCTTTATGGTCCAACTCTCACTTCCATACATCACTACTGGAAAAACCATAGCTTTGACTATGCGGACCTTTGTTGGCAAGGTGATGACGGCAAGATGAAATGAAATTGTACTGGTTTCATTAAAAAGTTTTTAGGTACATTTGGATGCATGATGTTAAGTAAACACCAGGACTGCAGAAATAACAGAGTACATAACATTACTGGTGCTGAACTTTCTACAACAGAACTAAGTTCCAGGTCTAGGTTTGTCATCGCTTTCCTCCCAAGAAGCAGGTGTCTTTTAATTTCATGGCTGCTGTCACCATCTGCAGTGATGATGGAGCCCAAGAAAGTAAAATCTGTCACTGCCTCCATATCTTCCCCTGATGTTTGCCAGGAGGTGATGGGACCAGTGGCCATGATCTTAATTTTTTTGAGGGTGAGCGTCAGACCATTTTTTGCACTCTCCTCTTTCACCCTCATTAAGAGGTTCTTTAATTCCACTTTCTGCCATCAGACTGGTATCATCTGCATGTCTGAGGTTGTTGATATTTCTTCCAGCAGTCTTGATTCCGGCTTGGGATTCATCTAGTCTGGCCTTTCGCTTGATGTATTCTGCATATAAGCAGGGAGACAATATACAGCCTTGTCGTAATCCTTTCTCAATTTTGAACCAATCAATTGTTCTATATCCAGTTCTAACTGTTGCTTCCTGTCCCACATATAGATTTTTCAGGAGATAGATAAGGTGGTCAAGCAGTCCCATTTCTTTAAGAACTTGCCATAGTTTGTTGTGTCCACACAGTCAAAGGCTTTTGCGTAGTCAATGAAGCAGAAATACATGTTTTTCTGGAGCTCTCTGGCTTTCTCTATCATCCAGCACATGTTAGCAATTTGGTCTCGAGTTCCTCTGCCCCTTCAAAATCCAGCTTGTACTTCTGGGAGTTCTCAGTCCACATACTGCTGAAGCGTACATTGTAGGATTTTAAGCATAACCTTGCTAGTCTGTGAAATGAGTGCAATTGTACGGTAGTTGGAGCATTTTTTGGCTTTGCCCTTCTTTGGGATTGGGATATAGACTGATCTTTTCCAATCCTCCGGCAAATGCTAAGTTTTCCAAACTTGCTGGCATATTGAATGTAGCACCTTAACAGCATCATCTTTTAAGATTTTAAATAGTTCAACTGGAATGCCATCATCTCCACTGGCCTTGTTGTCAGCCATGCTTTTTAAGGCCCACTTGAATTCTGTGTTGTACTGATACTGAATTTAATTCATCAGACATCTATCTGTACAGTCATAAATATGGGAACTTTCTCCTTGGGAGTTCTGAACAGTTGTCACAGTATCCCAGGGCTTCTTGGAAAGTGCAGTCTTACTGCCCCTTAGGCTCTATAGAGGGCAATATAAAGCCCAATGGGCAGCAAGACTATAGCTCCAGGAAGTCAAATGTAGATGTGTCCCTTCTTCTACTGTACTCTGGGATTGTGAAGCTTGCCAAAGGCTACACTGCTTGATTTTTCTCCCAGCCAGCACAGTGTAGAACTGAACTTCCAACCTCTGACTGTCCAGCCCAACTCAATGAGCTATCTTACAAATACGTACAACTGGATGCCCTTATTCATGGGATCAGTATCTGTGAATTTACTTATCTGAAAAGATTACAAATATCAAAAGAAAAAAAACAGAAAGAAATATTTTCATGTGTATTAGATGAACTAGCCACTAGATGGAGAAAGAGACAATGCTATGAAGAATACATGGTCTCTGGCTTGCAAGCTTTCTCCCAGGAGGTAGAGGCAGAGGTGGATCCTCTTCCCTGCTGATATACCCAGTATTAAAAAAAAAAAAAGACGGGGGGGGGAGGTTGAAAATGTCAGCCAGGCAATCTAGGTGTGAAGCGGGACAGGGGCATCTCTGGGGCAATGTTCAGGGCAAGTTGGCTGACTTTGCATTGAGGCAGGGCTTGAGAGTGCGCAGAGCGGTGGTGAGCAACTCAGCATGCAAGGGGGCAGTGGCAGGCTCCATGCTCTGTCCTCCCTTTGAGTAACTGTTGGATTTGGGTGGAATGGAGGAAGGGCCAGATTCCTGCAGCCCCTTTATCCCTTCACCTTCCAGATAGTTGGTGAGGCTGGGAAGAGTGTTTGCTATTATCTGCATTTTTCAGTATCTGCGGGGAGGGGCTTGGAACCATTAACTCCTGATATGGGGCTCCTACTGTATCAACTTAAAATCCTCAAATTCTGCTGCCACCAGAGAGGGAAAAAAAAAGAGAGAGAGAGATCAGTTTCTGCTGAACCTGCTCATGAGAGACAAGTTATGTTTGAATAATTTACCTTCTCCTCTCTTGCAAATCCAGTTTCTTCGGTGGGAACAATCTGTTACTGAGAGAAATTTTTTGAAAGCAACTCCACAATCAAAATGAGATTTTGTGTATCGTCTGTTTCGTCGAATCACCCTGGCAATAGTTAAGAAGAGAGGAAAATTTAAAGAATCAGAACAAAAAAAACCCCTAATCTTTAAGACCTTCCATATTTTAATTGGACTGTGTGCAGTTTTCAAAAACCATAATACAGTTTTGTTGAATGATCTTCATACTGGACCCTGAGAACAGTAGCCTAAACATATTTAAGAGATTTCAGATGAGTTCAGTCTGGTGAGAAATACCATTCTTCTTGCATACAAGTTTATGTGTTGAAAACTTTAATGCAAAACTCAAGTATTTTTGAAGCTTCACAAAATTCCTAGACATCCTGGAATTAGACATGTAACATTTCCTAAAATTCCCATTTCTTACAGGAAAAAATCTGAAAATTTCATTTTTTCTTGGAAAAAAAGAGGTTTTCCTGGGGGAAAATGTATGTATGTAAAGTTGTCTTGATTGGATATGGAAAGTTCCAATTTTTTCCTAGAAAAAATGGAAATTTTCAGAAATTTTACCTTTCTATAACTGCCATTCGAAAACCTTTAGCTTGGTTTGAGTTAATAAGCAAATGCATTTTTGACTGTACATTAGTCTGTTTCTCCTCCTTTTATGGAGTGAACTATCAAACCAGTTTCCTGAAAAAACATTAGTTATCCATTTTGGAACAAGTCAGAATATTATACCATAGTCTGAAGCTGGTTTAAAATTCTGGCTTGTTCTGAAGTTATCTAACCAGTTATCTCATTTGGACCAAACAAGAATAATTACATTAGAAGAAATAGAAACAAATGCTTGTATCTTGCACAGAACAGGTGGAGATGAAGGAGGAGAAAGAAAAACAGAAGGAGTGTATGTAGGCAACAAACAAGCACATGGGGGACAAAATATTATGGCACCTTAAAGACTAACAGATTTCTTTCCACATCAACTATCATGGTTGAAACCCCATTTCCTCAAACAACATGAAGAGTATCAGATATCTTTTTGGAAACTACTGGGAGGGTACACACTCTCCTTAGGTTTTGGAAGCTGACAGAATAGTCTTCTCTCCTAACACTAGACTATTTTAAAAACAATCTTACCATGCATTTTGAAAGACTGAAGATGAGTTATCTACCCAAACATATTCATATAACTGCTTGCAGAAGGTCAGACCAATCCAGCTATCGACTCCTTTTTGCTGAACCCACATCTGAAAGCACAGAAAACAATTCTTCAACACAGGTTCAGAATGGGATGTTTAGAACTCAAACTATGTAACAACCACATGCAGCTAGGGACAAGTCTTGAAGCCTAGTTTAATAAGAATCTGAAAGTGTCAGGGTTTTTTAAAGAAGTGTTCAAGCTTTAAATTCAAACAAAAAGACAGTAATTCTAAGAATATTTCTATAATACAAAATCACCTTAATTAACAGAAGCATTACAATATTATTGTGTGACCACCAGTCAAAACAGCATTTTGTAAGCCCCATAGCAGGGGCGGTCCAAAACAAAAATGACTTCTAAATGGGCTCTTGAGTAGCAGCAACGGTACTTTACAGAGTGATAGTAGACTATATGGGTTTGCTCTGTGCTAAATTTGGAGGAGTTAGACAAGTACTTTTGCAGTTTTGATATCTGGTCTGTGCCCCAAGCAATAAATCCCCAGAAAACATGTTTTGATTAACTGATGGAAAAAAGAGTTAGGGTTGGAGATTTTCCCTTCTTTGGTGTGTGTTTGTGAATGGCGGAAGAGAGACTCTAGATTATCTTGACCAATGACATTAGGGATTGGACAACACTCAAGCTTGCCTTTCTTACTTAAAGCTTGACATTCTTTCTTCCTGGAATTATAGAAAGTTCCAAAACAGCCTAAGAAGTGTTTCCAGGCCCTGTAGTGCTACTACCAGAGCTTATTCAACAGGATGTTACTCATGTTATATGACATTCCTCTTCCTGTCTTGTTCCAAATGGCAGGATGGACCCAAGTGCATGCACTAATTGATTCTGTTACCAGTCCTTTCTCCTCATATTGGCTTTTTCCATATACTGGCATAGCACAAGTGCAAAATGTATGCCATCTATCTACTTGACTGCCAGACATTAAAACAATAATACTTGTACTACAAAAATCAGTCTTTATTTCCTCCTAATGTCTCTCACTGTGGGTTTGTTTCCCTGCCTGGAAACTGGGACAGTCATAGCACAAAATCAGGCAAAATCCAAAGAAACAAAACAAGACAAGACAAAAACATTTGGCATCTTAAAGACTAACCATATTTTAATGTGAACTTTTGTGGATCATGTCCACATCTTCGACATATGGGGAAAATGAAATGCAGAAAAAAATACATAAATTTAAATATCATTTCTGTATTTAATTCTGTATTTAATTTTTTCCCCATACATCTGAAGAAATGGACATGATCCATGAAAGCTCACATAAAAAGTTAGTCAGGCGTCCTTCAGTCTCAAGAGATTATGGTAACATGCTCTGTATGGAGGACTTGGAACAGTGTCTAGTGTGGCTGAGAAGGCCAATTCGAGAGTGACAGTCCCTTCCACACTGAAGACAAATCCAATCTGTCCCCTGTCTAGCTCCCTGATTTTGTTGGTTTCAGGACTGCTTCTTTGCCTCAGCCTGCTGAATAAGTGCCTCTTCAAATTGCGAAAGGCCATGACTCACTGCCTGCTTCCAGATGTCAAGGTTTCCCATCTGGTAACAGACCATGGCAAGGTAGCACGTTACTGGCTGGGGGCTGCCCAGCTTAAGGTGGGCAGTAGCTGCCTAGTGAGGTGCAATGACCTCACCCACCATACATGAAAATATAATAAACAACTAACTCCTACATCCTAACATTATTATGCATTTAGTTCTATCTGGCCCTATCAAATCCTGTCAGCTTATATCAGTCATGTTTCTATCACACACTATGGCTCTATCTGAACACTATTACATATTGGACCCTATCATCCCTATCTGAGAGACTAACTGAGACATGTTTTATATGTCTACATCTATCTATCTGGCTGATGCCAGACATATTCTTATTAGTTAGAATGCTTCAGTATGCAAATACGACATTCTAGTCCTTCCATACAAGCACACTGACACATACATACTGTGTTGTGCAGTTACATATACCAACCATTTCTCCATGAATTACTGAGTTTCTCAGAAATTTTGTCAGTTCATAGCTACTTTCCGTGCCCCAGGTTTCTGGTATTTTACTCTGTTGGAAAAACACCTGACCCCAGCTCCAGTGGGAGCTAGAACTTAGACTCAACTCACTTTTCTAATGGGTTACTTTGCAATAACAGATTGTAGCAAAGTTACTTTTTTGCTGGTAATGAGCAGGGCCGTAATTCACCACTCTTCACCTGAATTAAAATAGAATAGATGACTATTATTCTCTACTTGATGCTGGGGAGGGGGAGTTGACATTTCCATTGAGAGGGGGAAGGATGACAGATCACAGGCATGGGTTGTTTTTTGCTGCTGCCTCACCTACTCCTTTGTGAACAAGCTGCTATGCAGCAAGTCCTGACCAAACAGGATGGTAGGTACCAGCCAAGCTGTGAAAAGACCCCTTTAGGCTTTTCGATTTCTTCATCTTTTTGCCCAACCCTTTATCTCCCCAAACTGTACTCCAAAGCAAATCAGCCCCTTTACCCTCAAAAAAACAAAAGGAGTGGACTGGTTATAGCCAACGCCTAAACCATCAGGGTAGAAAGATGAGTTGTTGCTTAATGCCACAGTTGAATCCTCTCATGCACAATGACAGTATTAAGTCATGCTTAGCAGCACGGAGTTAGCAGGGTGGAATGCACTGTCTAGCATGGCTGTGTGAAGTAAATTTGAGTGTCTTGCTTAGCCAGCACTATTTTGCTGCCAAGAAGCGCCCCCCCCCACATCTGCAGGACAACAGCATCATAAAAGGGAAGCATTTCTTTCATTTGATATTTAATGTGCTTATGTTATCTCTAATACTAGAGATGGGAATGGATGTTTGAAGGATTTTCTTAGGGGAACTGGAGGACATTCTCCTACATTTTTCAATGGTGCAGCTATAATGGTAACAATAATGCATTTAATACTGAGCAACAGAAAGAACTGCTTTCCTGAATAGCAGCAACTTTCATGATAATATCCCAATATCCAAGCAAGGTAATGACTAACATAATGAGCTAAGTAATGTTCCAAGCTTTGGTGAGGGCAGTATTCACATACTGGATATATCAGTAACATGGTATAGCAGCCTGAGGAAGCAGCTCCTGTGTGCAACAAATATGGGAACTGTGTATTTGGAGGACACAATTCAAAGTGCTGCTTTTAACCTATAAAGCCCCAAACAGCTTGGGGCCTAGCTATCTCCAAAGACTGTGTCTCCTATTGTGAGCCTGCCTGAGTGTTAAGATCATCGTAGACAGCTTTTCTCTCGGTCCCACCACCTTCACCTGTGCTTTGGTGGGTATACAAGGAGAGAGCCTTCTCTGTTGCTGCTCCCAGGCTCTAGAGCTCCCTCCCATGGGAGGCAAGGCTGGTCCCGTCTTTGCTGTCCTTCCACAAGCATGCAAAGAAGTTCATCTTCGGGCAAGCTGTCCCTCAGTGACTGTCTGTCTAAGACAGGTTTTAAATTGGGGTGGTTTGTATTTTTGTTGCTTTTAAATCTATGTTAGCAATGCTTTTACCTAACATATTTAATATAATGTTTATATAATTCTTTATAAATATTTTAGCTATTTACTGCTTCTAGCTTTTAATGTCATGTTTTTAATGACGTAACCACTTTAAGTCATTTTTAGGAGAAAGATGGGGTAAAATATTTTAAATAAATAAATGCATAAATGAAAATATCTACATTTTCTTCTGTCTTTTAGAAATAATAAAATAATCAGAGGAAAATATTCAATTGCAAATAAATCCATCTCTAGAACAAAAAGTAAAATTGTATGTGAGAGAGTAATTAGAAACAGAAATAGTTAAAAAGAATTATTTTGGCTTTTTATATTCGCGAAGGCTTTCATTTTGGCTTTTACTTTGTTTGCTCTGGTAAAAAATATGTTGATTCTCAGATGACAATTATAGAATCATAATTATATATAACTATAGAATATAGATGTAGTACCTTTTCTTTGCTGTTTGTAATTTTAACAAGGTCTGTTTCCTTAAAACCTTGGCAGGAAAATCTGGCATTAGCCCACGTGTCAGTTTTTGAATCTTCAACATAGTAGCATGACTTTGAATAGTGATACCATTTGGGCTTCTTTGGGCATGGGTTTGGGAATGCTGAAAAAGCAAAGTAACAAATTGCACTATAAAAATAACACCAGGTTTCCTACACGTAATAGCTGGCTGGATAGCTCTGTGGCTTAGTTATCTGGCTATGGAGCCAGAGGTTGGAAGTTCTTCTCTCCATTGTGCCTCCTGTGAGCCAGCCTGTGCTGTGTGTCCTTGGGCAAGCAGCACAACCAACCCCCCCCCCCCCCCCGAAAAAGGTAAACCACTTCTGAGTACTCTCTACCTAGGAAACCCTGAAAAGGGTTGTCAGAACTGAGTTGACATCAAATGACAATGCTACCCACATGCATGCGAATAGCAATATAAGTCCTTCCTTCTATCTATGAATAAAATAAAAGAACAACTGTAGTGTTCATAAAGCACATCAAGGTGTTTCTTATATATTACCTCAAGGACGTTTCTTGCAGCTAAAATTTGGCTTGACCTGATAGGCAAATGTTGTACAAGAGATTGGCATGTTTCAGTATTCCTGTCTCCACTGTACTCGCAAAAGCTGCATTTTTAAACATAACTTCTCTGGGATCCTCAAGAAAGAAATCCATTTCTTCACCACAGCTTTGCCGCTAGAATTTTATCTGTCCCTTTAAAAAAGCTATTTGGAGCGTCAATTAAAGGCTCCTGGTGTACTTTAGCTCTGAATTAATTATGTGCAGTCAAGCTGCTTTCAACTTATAGTGTTACTCCCAGGTTTTCCTTAGTATAAAGTAATGTATTCAGAAGTTGTTTACCAGTACTTCTTTCTGGTTGTGCTCTGGGCCACAGATCATAAAACCACACAGGTAGTAAGTACATGCCTCCATAAGCTACAAAATTTCCAGGCAATCTCAGCTTGCTCCTCCTCTGTTAGCTACTATAGT